AGCATTGAATTCAACTTGCGGATAACCCCCCCATGCACCAGATGCCCATTGTAATTGATGATAGGTAAATATTGTAAATGAATAACGACTATTTGTTGTTATTATAGCCTGATATGTATTTCGTCCTTCCATGACCAGAACTTTCATGACCAGGAACACGATCCCAAGTAGCCACAAATGCCCAAAACATGCGTTGAGACGTCAACGCTGGATATGCACGTTTTACCATATCAGTAATTATTAATAATGCATTGACATCTGTATCAATTTCTCGATAAAATATATTACTATTTTGATCTGTAGTTATATCTGTATCAGCCCAATATGGTGAAACACAAATAAAACTCGGAAGCGGAAATCGACCGGGTACAGCATGTGGTAGATTGTTGTAGGTCTGGTTACCAAATAAAATAAGTCCATGACTCCATAACTTGATTTCATCATATTTTTCATTAAAATATGGGAAAAGTGCTTTAATTTTTATAGGTGGTGTTAATGCATTTAATCTACGATCCATTGGTGTATCACCACTATCAATACCATACGGAACAAAATTTGATGGTTGAACTTCGCTTTGAATTGCATACAATTCAAAGAGAAATAAAAAAAAAACTGAATTTATCATTTTTATTTGAAAACAACTTCTGAAAAGTGAACACACAACAAAAGTTATTTGTGTATGTAATTAGGTTTTAAAGACATTTATTCTTATCCTTTTTACCGTGTACATATATTCTTATCTATGGTCGATTTATGTAGGGGTTGTTTTCGATTATTTACACGATTTTGGAAGTCACACAGGTAACGTCAACATTTTTATCAGATGTTGTTAGTTACGTAGAAGAAAAACACATAAAGTTTCCATTAGTCATACTATTGAATATCTTCTACATCAAGATTATTCAGATTCGGTGACGATCGCAATCAACGTGACTCGGAAGTATGCGTAACTGTTTAATATCAAAAAACGAATATAACTTTACAGGTCTTTTCTGAAAATTTATACGTACGTAAAGTTAGCATAAGATTCGTCTAGTTTAACGTCAGATTCATCAATGAACCTAGTCCAAGACAGAGCTTTCTTGGTTCAAAATAGAGCCTGATGAACTCTACAAAATGTTACATTTTGTTAATAAATGGCGGTGCTAGAAAGGTTTTATTTTAGTACGGTCACAGCGGCAAAACCGATTTTTATGACAAATTCGTCCTTTAAAGTTTCTTTAACTCGGACAACAAAACAAGCATTGTCACGAGATTCAACGCGCCCGAAAAGCTATGTATCAAGTACTTTTGAGGTTCCTAGGCTTGAAATTTAGCCGATCGGTAGGTGTCCGAAGATCGCTGTGGCACGAACCACGATAGATGGAGACTTGAAACTTTCGCCAGGTTGTAGAGAGACATTTATTGTATATCAACATGTGTTTAAAGCAGTACCTTGATATTTAGATTTTTGGAATGGCAGACTGGAATATTTTGTTTCAAAAGGTATATCATAGCAAGCCTCTTTCGAAAAACGGGATTTTCATAGATCAGTGTCCCATGGTGTCTAGTTTTAGAAACTGGAAACTGCACGTCTCTAGTTATTTAAAATAATACCGAACTTTAATCTGTTTTGAAACAGATAGTACCCAAACATCAAAACATCTAGTATCGCCCGATTCATCTAGATCACTAGTTTTTTACTGGATTGCAACTACTGTGTAACGACAGCAGAAATCTAGTAATCAGGCGATTGCTAGATTCTTCTACTTGCAACTATCGATTTATTTCCCGATAGTAGATCGATTTAACCGCTGCTAGTTGCACATTCTAGTTACACATAGCAGTGTTAGTAGTTGCAATTTTAGATTAGTTTGTAGCTTTACTGCAATAATCTTTTGAAAAAGAGCGAAAAAAGGATACCGTCAGTTGGACAAGCCGATGCGTACTAGTTGTCAACATACAGACACATCTAGTTAAAAGTCCCTTTTCCAACTAGTAATCTAGATAATAACTAGTTGTGTATCGCCCGATTACAGACGACATGTATCTAGATTTGTCCCATAGGTGATGTTTGCTTGGGTAATTATTTTTTAACTAATTCGTCTTTATCATGGAGAAAACGCCGTTACGGAATCAAGTCCATTATTTCTAATTCTACTCGACTTAAACCCAAGCCAATATCACCTATGGGAAAAATCTATATGCATTTTGTCTATAATCGGACGATACATGGCTAGTTGCCATCTAGATTACTAGTCGGAAAAGGGACTTTTAACTAGATGCGTCTGCATGTGCATCTGGCAATAGTTTAATCGATCGATTATCGGACGATAAATCGATAATTGCAGCTAGAAAAAATCTAGTAATCGCCCAATTACTAGATTTCCACTGCCGTTACACAGTAGTTGCAATCAAGTAAAAATCTAGTAATCTAGATGAATCGGGCGATACTAGATTTTTTTTGGCGCTTGGGAATAACCGTAATTACATTCCACTGAAACTTTGACTTCGGTTCAAAAAGCGACCATTACGTAGAATGGCCCAGATATTTGTAATTTATAATTTCCAATTGGTGTTTTTAGTGGATAAAGATCCCTCCCTTGGTCTTTTTTAACCATTTTCTACGTTAAACATTTTTTCTCTAATGAAAAACAACCAATTAGAGACCTTGACTACGCCATTACTCCCAGGTCTCGGAAACTAAATTTGAAGGCCTGTGAATATTACCGGCGGATTGAGCTTGTTGACATTACGTAGAGCATCCCGAAATTAACTAAAAATAATCGTAAAATCGAATAAGAGATCGAAAATACTTAATTTCTACTGTTTTCTCTATGGTAGAAATCCCCAGCGGAATGTGTCGCATGAAAATGCGTCGCAGAATATGTCGCAATTTGCGACACATGCGACACATTATTTTTTAGTGTGTAGAGCAAACAATTTCCTACAAACTGGTGTACTTGTTGAATTTTCGCCTGCTCGTCTTCAGTCTTTTAGACACGTTTTTCAGATAGCTCCGAAATCGATTTTGGGGGCTGTTTGTACGACAGCTGTATTTTCATAACTAATCAACATTCAGAGCCAAAACACTTTTCATTTTGTAGAGAAATGTTTAATGTACTTAATTATGTAGTTGCAACTTTAGATTAGTTTGTAGCTTTACTGCAATAATCTTTTGAAAAAGAGCGAGAAAAGGATACCGTCAGTTGGACAAGTCGATGCGTACTATCAAAATTAATAACGGAGGTGTCCCTACTCTTTTATCAGAAAATATGTTGATATTTTCTTCAACTTTTGTAAATAAAAGTCAGTTTTTTTGTATGTAAAAACTCGAATCAATGAGGATAAGTCTGATCTCGTTTCATTCAAAAACTGAGGTAGTTTTAGCTAGTATTTGAGGTTCAGCGAATCCAACAGAAACATTGCATTTTCTAATTAGAGATGCACCGAGACAGAGTACTCGATAGCCGAAACTTAGTCTCGTATAGTCTCGAGTCTCGAAAGTTTCGGTCTTGAATAGTCTCGATATAAAAGTGCTGGCATCGAAACTTTCCGAGACTTTTTCGAGACTATTTTTTTATGTTGTTGTAAAGCTGTGTAACGTCAAAATATCATCAGAATCAACCATATGTGTATTGCTTGCAATTTCATTAGCAATTTGAGATTGAAAGGTTCCAAATATGGATGAATCCAATATAGAACAATCATGAGAATACGGTGGATAACCACCTTCAACCTGCTGATGGTATCCGGCACTACTATACAATTCTATTCCGTTTTTAGATAAAAACTGTTGAATTTGTAATGTATGATTCAAATTTACGCAATCTGACATCAAAATTTTTGAATTAGTTGCTTTCATAAATGGAAAAACACAGCTTTTTAAACCACCCAAGTAAGTTTGTTCATTTACTTGTTCATCAACTCATGTTTCAACTTGTTTTCTTGGACGTAATTGAGTTTGTCCATGTAAATAAACGTCACAGCCGTGTTGATTTGCTGCGAACATACCATGAATAGATGGATTAGACTTTGCATCTATTACAGGTTGTTAGCTAGTGGTAGATTTAAAAGATTCAGTGATCCCCTGATATAGCTAACAATACTTAAACCAAAGTATTAATGATAGTAATATATTGAGAAATCAATCAAAAATGATATAATAAAACAAGCAA